TGTCAAATGCTGGGGAAAAAAAAAATCCTTGTGGAAAATGTCTCACTTTTTTTGTGTGACCATTCATTCCTTGTGAGCCCAGGCCATTTACTTCCTTGCCCTTCTTCTGTAACGAAGGTGTCTGGGCTTTTTCAGTACTCGGAAAAATAATGGTGCTACCAGCTTGTTGCAGGTGGTCATAAACCTGTGTGTGAAACAAAGGAGTAAGAAAGTAACAGGAAGGGTCTTACAGTGAATATTTCAAGGGCAAAGTACTCAGATGGAGATGGGACTTTTGGGAGGCTGCTGCAAAGGAAAAGCTGTGCTTTGTTGAAATGCAGAGCAGCTTTCAGGCTCCCTTTCCGCGCAGCAACCAGCCAGCCTGAAGGAGCACTGCTGCCAGGGAGAGATCAGAGCAGAGTCTAAAAGGCTGTTTTTTCCCCATCTGGCAGCTCCTAAGCTGGGGAGCTGGAGCACAACCTGGCATCAGGAGCTCTCTCCTACCGATTTGTAAAACCTCGAGCTCCCATGTCCAGCAGGGAAACAAATACCTCCACAATCCTCCTAGCCCTGCTGTGGACAACTGCCCTCCTGGTGTTTTACAACACCAAGGGTTGGAATAAAGGCTGGACCAACATCTTTTGGTCGGGAGCTGCATCTAATCTGAGCTTGCCTCGAAGGGACCGCATAGCCTCTTGTAGGCTTTCCTCCATGACTGTGCAGAACCAACTGCTCGTTCCCTGCGGGAGCTTGTCCACAAAGAGAAGGGGCACAGCTGTGACTTCAGGAGAGCCCGAGTTGGGATCTGGCTCTCCTGGTCAGCTCCAGCTCTACCTGAAGACTCTCAAGCAGCTGATACCAGGAGAGCCCCAGGACATCTCTGCTGCCTCTTTGGTAAAAAGGGCTCTGGGTGCTGCCCCTGGGCATGGAGTAGTGCGTATGGGCAGGGTTGTGCTGGCCTGGGGTGGTGGTTTGATGCTCTCTACCACACATACACGGCCAGCACTGAGCCTGAGAAGAGCTCTGTGCCCCTGCCTGGTGCTGCCATGATAAATCTGCCCCAAGAGGCGTTGGGGGAGTGATGCTGAGGCCACAAGTACTGCAGCAGGCAAGGTTTGCCGGGGCTGCTAATGCATTTGCTTTTATTGTTGATGGCCGGGATGGGAAATGCAATTGAGACACCTTAATGAAAAGCTAACAAAGTTGGTTTGGAGAGAGGGCTGACGTTCTGGTAGCTTTGCTTCTCGTTAGAGAAGAATATGAATGATTTGTCTGGGAATATTCCTACCACTGTGACAGCAGCCGTGTGCTGACCATGGACTGAGACCCTACACAAACACAGAGTGAGAGGGTCTCTGGGGACCAAGCTGTTTATTTTGGATTGTGCAAATAAAGAAATGCTGCTAATTTTATAGCAGTTGCTTCTCAGAGGTATTTTGAGAGTCAGCCTCTGACTGCATGTGTGTAACCAGCATGTTGTGGCCAAGCATTTTCTAGCCCTCTCCAACTCCTGAGTCTGGTGTTAATCACACTCAATGTGAATTGGTTCAAGCAGGAAAGCTGGTGAAGGTATGTGAATCTTGCTTGATGACCATTCCACAAAATGCTGGAGGAAGTCCAACATAGATTTAGGGGGGTGCTACTGCCGCTCAAAGAAGAGTCCTGGCACATTGCCAAGGCTGATACGTTTTTCTTCCAAAGCTCCAGCCTTTCCCCACCCATCTGAACTCTCCAGAAAAGTTCCATGTTTCTTACCTCCCACCCGTCTGAGGGAAAAATGTTATTTGTACATGGAGAGCTGGATGGGAAGACCAGAAAGATGGATTGCTCAGATGCAAGCCTCTAGGCCTTTTTCCTCCTGTTTAATGTAATATGGGATTTGGTTAAAAACAAACAAATGAACAAAAAACCCCAAACCAAACAACAAACCAAACCCAACTTGTGTTAGAAGGTTTGAAATAAAGTTCAAGTTACATGAATCTAATTTAGTGGATGTCTTTTTTCTGGCTGAGACTTCAGTGCTTGAATCCTCTTAAGACTGTAGAGTTGGTCCAAAGTGTGATGGGACTCTCCTATTCTTTATGACCTAAATCAGTGACCCAAAGCATAATATTTTCTCTAGAACCATCTGTTTCCTCTTCTTGCCAAGGGGATTTCACAATGCCTGGTTGCTCTGAATAATTGTACATGTGCAAGGATATGACTTGCCACAGGGAGAAAATTAACTCAACAAGGGCAGGTGGACACTCTTGACTTTTCTGTTGGAATTACAACCCTTTAGAAAAAGAGGGTAAAGAACTATGCAGCTGAGGAATATTTTATGCCCACATTAAATTTTTTTTAAGCCTTCATGTTTACAAGAAAAAAAAAATAAATCTACACTTAGGAGCTATCTGGGATAAGTAGGTACCAAGTCAGCCTGTGTTTTCTCAGCCCCTTCATCAGATGTCTTCAGAACTTGGTTTGGAGCAGTGTAAAACAGGGGAGTACAGATATTGGGTGACTAATTCATGCTTTGGCTAAACTTCAATGACCATGAACACACATCTGTTTCAACTTAGCTGTCTGCCAAATGGCCTCCAACAAGGTACTCTTCTTTACAAACATGTTTTCAATTTTTTTACTTCAGATTTGTAAGCAGTGGCTACAGCCTGCATTCTGGGAAGCAGAAGGTGCCCAGGGACTGTGATCAGGGGAGCAACATTCAGGGCTTCTGATTCCAGCAGCAGGAGCTTTTTGTAGCATTGGCAGGATTTCCAGTGCAAACAAGTCCTTTCTTTTAAATCTATCTTCATACAGGAGACTTGCTTTTTCTTGTTCATCTTATCTGGTCTTATCACCCAGCGCCCTGACTTGGTCGCTTCCTGCTCTGTGTATCTTTTTCTTTTCTTAATTAGAAAACTGGGAGGAGGGGTGGGAGGGGGGAGAGAAACCAACAGTTCCTGGTGAATAAATGTAATTTATATAAAATAAAACTGTCCTGATAAATTCTCAGTATTATTTTTCCAGCCCAATAATCCTACTACATCATCCTTAAATGAAAACAAATAGAGAGGGCTCTGATCCATAATTACAACATCTCTTCATGGAGTAGATGCTGTAATGTGGGTGCAGGATGGTGCTCATTGCTTCCTCCAGCTAGTACTTCACTTGCACACAGACCTGCTCCTGGGTAATATAATCCTGTCCTAGTGAGGAGTGGTGATTTCTAGGTCCAAAGGAGATGGGTGGTGGTGATCAGGTGCTTTTCTTCAAGGAGGCGTTGATGTGTCCCTGTCTAGAAGGGTAGATGCTTCTCCCAGGGAACACCTAATGCAGCATGTGTAGCCTGCTGTGGGGCTGGAGAGCCAACCTGGTTGCCAGACACACTGTGAAATGCCCAATGTGAAGGCAGAAGAGGGACGATGGGATTAGCCATCCTGCTTGGGTCACGCTCGCTACGACGGGGCCCAGGTGACACCTGGGAGCTGTCACTGGATGCAGCCTTCAGCGTGGGTAGGTTGGGCTGTGTCTCCCAGCACACACAGCTCTCAGACCTGGTGGTGTGTTTGCTGGAGACCAGGCAGATGGAAAATGGTGAGATCTGTCAGGCATTGCAGGGGCTGGACTTCAGGAGGGCTTGACTGGATCTCCTGCTTGTGTCTCATCTCTGATATGGGCCTGGCAATACCATTCTTCTCTTAGAATTTTAGAAGTTTAAAACATTTCATGGCTGAGCTCCTTTTTTTTTAATTTTTTTTTCTTTTTGGGATATGTTTTTTTCATGAGCAAAACCAGTTCAGCCTTTTGTATTCTCCAACAAAGTAAAGGTATTGATGTACTCATTTTCCTCTCCTCATAGAAACGTTTTTAAGTGCTGTGTGATTAAATTAACTTGGAGTGGAGAAGCATAGTATGGCAAAGTCTCTCCTTGAGGAGAAAATATAGCTTTAATAACTAGGAATCTGGTTTTTATTGCCTAGTAAAACTGAGAATGTAACACTGAGCATGCTCAGGTTCTTGCACTAAGCATCTCCATATACTTAAAGACATCTGTTCTGTCTGTTTATGCACTGTTAACTAACTGCAAACCTCTTTAACAGCTCCTCTACAGTGCTGGAAAATCCTGAGGCAGGACAAGGGCAAGTACTGCTGTCATGCCTGGTGACTGATGTTGTAAGTGGAGTGAAAAAAGCCCTTCAAGGGGAAGCCATCAAAGCTGACCTAGTGGGAAAAGAGTGCAGGGACAGGTTTCCCCTCAAAGCATGCCAAGAGAGCCAGGCTTGGATGCATATGGAGCTCTTTCCAGTTTCGGGGAGGTGCAAAGTGATGCGCTGTGGAAGGAATGGCTCCAAAAGTATTAATTAAAGACTGCCCTTCTGGTGCACCTTATGACAAAGTTGCTATTAAGAATAAAGTTTTGCCAGGACTTGAGCTCACTTTGTGCAGATATCTGATGTGGAGTAGATGCTTAGGAGGACTATGAGCGAGAAAAGGCTGCAAAATATGTAGTTTACAGTGATTAAAAATGGCAAGTATAAAAACAAATTTTTAAAATGATGGGAGGATAAATAGATTTCCCTGTTCTGCTCTTATCCTGAACCACAGTGAGTGCATTGTCATTTTGAAATGGGAAACGCTTCTGCCAGCTGTGAAGCAGAATGATGGACTTTAATTAGACTAGAAACAAGAAAATGAAATTGAACACATAGCTTTTCAGCTAAGAGAAAGAGAGAGACATTAAACTTCATAGTAGCTAAAGGGGGTAGGTGCTAGCCCACTGGTAGCATCTGAATCTGTCCTTGTTCAGACAAGTGAACTAGGTGATTTGTACATGGAAAATGGCAGCAATCGTAATGAGCAATGGGCTCATTTGGTGGATCTTCTTGAGTAACAGTGTGACTTGACTATATATTTGGGAACGATAAGAAATAAACCAGGTGTGGAGAAAAATATATTCTCTCTGGTTGGCTCAATTAATGCATCTGTCCTTTTGTCTCTGCAGGCTGAGGACATCTGAGACCCGTTTGATGGAAGCGGCCATGTCGCGAGCACCTCACCCACCCACCTTCCCAGTGAGCTTCCTGAGCCTTGTGCTGGTGGTGTTGTGCTGTGCAGGCAGCACGCGTGCGGAGAGCCCCAGCGAACTGCCTGGCAACGACACCGAGGAATGCACTGGCTCCTACATCTGCAAAAAGGGGGTGATTTTACCAATATGGGAACCTCAAGACCCCTCATTTGGTGACAAAATCGCTCGGGCGACAGTGTATTTTGTAGCAATGGTGTACATGTTCCTGGGAGTATCTATCATAGCTGACCGCTTCATGTCCTCCATCGAAGTCATTACATCCCAAGAACGGGAAATAACCATCAAGAAGCCCAACGGCGAGACCAGCAAAACCACAGTGAGGATCTGGAACGAGACCGTGTCCAACCTCACCCTGATGGCCTTGGGCTCCTCTGCCCCAGAGATCCTCTTGTCTGTTATCGAAGTGTGTGGCCATGGCTTCACAGCAGGGGACCTGGGGCCAAGCACAATTGTGGGGAGTGCTGCGTTTAACATGTTTGTCATCATTGCGATCTGTGTTTATGTTGTTCCAGATGGAGAGATAAGGAAGATCAAGCACTTGCGAGTGTTTTTTGTTACAGCAGCCTGGAGCATCTTTGCCTACACTTGGCTTTACATTATTTTATCGGTGTCTTCTCCTGGGATTGTGGAGGTTTGGGAAGGCTTGCTCACCTTCTTCTTCTTCCCCATCTGTGTAGTGTTTGCCTGGATAGCTGACAGGAGGCTTTTATTTTACAAGTATGTCTATAAAAAATACCGAGCTGGCAAGCAGAGAGGCATGATAATTGAGCATGAGGGTGACCGGCCCTCCTCCAAAGCTGATATTGAGATGGACGGAAAGGTTGCTAATTCTCATGTGGAGAACTTTTTGGATGGGACACTGGTGTTGGAGGTGGATGAGAAAGACCAGGATGATGAGGAAGCCAGAAGGGAAATGGCTCGGATCCTGAAGGAGCTGAAACAAAAGCACCCTGATAAGGAAATTGAACAGCTTATAGAGCTGGCCAACTACCAGGTCCTGAGCCAGCAGCAGAAGAGCAGGGCCTTTTACCGCATTCAGGCCACTCGGCTCATGACGGGAGCTGGCAACATCTTGAAGAGACATGCTGCAGACCAGGCCCGCAAAGCTGTCAGCATGCATGAGGTCAACAGTGAGGTGGCAGAAAACGATCCCATCAGCAAGCTCTACTTTGAGCAGGGTACCTACCAGTGTCTGGAGAACTGTGGTACGGTTGCCCTGACCATCATTCGCCGGGGAGGCGACTTGACCAACACGGTGTATGTTGACTTCCGGACAGAGGATGGAACAGCCAATGCTGGCTCTGACTATGAGTTCACTGAAGGGACAGTGGTCTTCAAGCCTGGAGAGACCCAGAAGGAAATCCGTGTTGGCATAATTGACGACGACATATTTGAGGAGGATGAGAACTTCCTGGTCCATCTCAGCAATGTCCGTGTGAGCACTGAGGCTTCAGACGAGGGCATTCTTGAGGCAAGCCGTGTCTCAACTCTTGCCTGCCTGGGATCCCCATCTACTGCCACTGTCACTATCTTTGACGATGACCATGCTGGCATCTTCACCTTTGAGGAACCAGTGACACATGTCAGTGAAAGTGTGGGGACCATGGAAGTGAAAGTGTTGCGAACCTCTGGTGCACGAGGAAATGTTATTGTGCCCTACAAAACCATTGAAGGCACAGCCAAAGGCGGAGGAGAGGACTTTGAAGACACCTGTGGAGAGCTGGAGTTCCAGAATGATGAGATAGTGTAAGTGAAGGTTTTATTGTTTACTTACAGTCTCTGTACTCCCGAAATTAAATGCATATGGCTCCCAGAGCTGCGCTGGAGGTGCCTGGGTGCCGGTGCGTTGCAGTAAGCCATGAATGGCCTTATGTGCTTTGAAGAGCCCAAAACGCTGTGTCCCTGCCTTGCTAACAGAGCAGAGAGTGATGCCTGCTCCGGGGCACTCTACCCTTTCAGCAGGACTGGTTTGTGAGCCCAGCCTCCCACACCCTACCCATGCGCTGAGCAGATCTCTACAGCTTTGGCTCTAGAGCAGAGCAGAGAATGAAACCAAGCTGGCTTTTACTGCTCAGTCACAAGGACCTGTCTTGTGGAGGGCCTAAACTGACTGTATGTGTTGTGGTACCTATTTTCCCTTGCCTGGTGAGGGTCAGGTCATCCAGGACTGCACCACAGCCTATTCCACTAATACTCTGCTCAGGGCTTTAGAGAAGGTCACTTCACCTCCTCCCCTTCTAAAGGCTTCAGGGCTGGGTCATTGTCCAAAACATGTCCTGAAAAAGCAGTGTCATGCAGAGAAGCCTCATGGTTAGGATGCAACTGGAGCAACGTTTAGCTGCTTGCAAATAAAAAAGAGGTGGAAAAATGAGTAGTGCTGGAGCCTTGTTTATGATATTATTCAGAGAATATATATTAGCCCATTAAATCATGGTAGAAAACATCTATCCTTGGGTATGTCATGAAGACATTTCCTTGCCCAGTTGGGGCTCTGGGAGGAGCAAGGGTTGGGAGTCGTGTTGTTCCAGCCTTGGGCTCTTCCTACAGTGAAGTCTGTGTCTTGTAGAGCAGTTCCTGCCAACGGTAGACTCTGTAGCACAAAACCACTGCATAGAATTTGGAGCAGTTACTGGTAAAGGGCACTGCTGTGTCAAGGGAGAGCTAAATGTTGGCTTGGGTATTGTGTACCATACAACTGGTCTCTCAGGAGCCGAGATTGATCCATGATGAGTGCCAAGAGTGGGCCTTACGTTCTGTCTGTTACTTGTATCTGCTCTGTGTGCACAGGGAGAATGAAGCAAATGGGGGAATCATTAAACTTCTTAAGTAGGGGGAAAGAAAAAAAGTGATTTGTAGTTCTCAGGTAGGGTATTAGACCAGTTGGGATTTTGACTTCTTAGGAAAAACTGAGCAAGAACTTCACAGCTTAAGCAATCTGGAGGCCAAAACATGCATGTTGCTCACATGGGTGCCATCGTTCCTGGCTCCTGAATGATAACTGTAGTTGAGAGGAATGCAGTTATTTGATTTTTTTTTCCTTTTTTATTTTATTTTGGGAGAAGCAAGGAGTTGCCTGCTGAGATGCCATGAACTAGGCTATAAGGATATCCCCCAAAGGCTCTTTACTTTTTAACCAGGTCACTCAGCACTAACAAAACTGGGCTACTGGCAGGAAGACTTTGGCGTTTGATCTCAGTTCCCCTGGAACGTGACATGTTTACAGGGCAGGTCAAACACAAGGCTGCAGGCTCTGCAGCTGCACTCAGAGGGGCTTGGGCTTCCCCCTTTCCTTGGATCCATCACTCTGGCCAGGATTTCTGTGCTGTTCTTCATCAAAAACTGGTAGTGATGCCTGTGTTTGCACTGCCTTTTGGTGCCCAGTCTGTTGCGTGGGGTTTTGCTGTGGGACCATGGTGTCTTCACCCCACTGCTGTGCTGAGGCCCGGGGTGCTGTGCCTACTGCCTCTGCTGGTGGCCTTTCCTCCACTAGGATGTTCACTGTTGACTTTTGCAAACAGCTAAGGGGTATGATGGAAAAGGGCTGACCACATCCACCCGTCAGAGCCTCTGCCTGGTCTCCTCATGATGGCAAGCCTCCTTTTCTTACTGGCTGTCAGCATGTGTGCAGCAAGCAAGGCATGGGGAAAGAGGCTTTCTTAGGAACCCAAGTGTGGTTTTTCTGCAGAGATGCCAGGGCATTCCATCATATTTCTATTGCCTTTAAACTCTCTCTTCCTGGAATCAAAGGGAGGGACAGTACATGGGAAGCACCACTTTAGCAGTTCACAGCCTCGTAGAGCTGAGGGCTTGTGGAATGGGATGGGAGGAGGTGGCGACTGCTGAAGCATATGTTGACCAAGGGGCTTGCTCCATTCGTGTGGGAGAGGACATGAACATATCTTAATTTTCTGGGAGAAGGATGAAACTCATTCATGTGGCTCAAAGGCAGTAGGTATTCCCTAAAAATTAGCTCCATGTTCAGTTGTTGGATCGAGTAGGATGTGATTTTCTGGGGCATTAACAACAAAGGCAGGGCAGTGTAGGGGGGACATGCAGATGAAAGAAAACTGTGTACAAGCCTCTATTATTAGAGGGATGGCTTGCTGGTAATTCCCAGTAAAATTAGAAAGCGCTAGGAGGGCCTTGATCTTCTGGAGACCTTCCTCCAGTTCCCAAAAGGTCCAATTATGTAACATGTTTGTTTGCAGCATCCAGAGAGACTTTCCCATTTTGCAATCTGTTGATGTCCCCTTTCCCAGAGCACACAAAATAGCTGTGTAGCTGCGGAAGACATGCCACTCCTGTGCCTTTAAAAAAAGATCTCATTCTCATGCTACCAAAGAGAGGTATAATGGAGAAGATGTTGGTCCTTCTATGGAATATTTTATCCCAGCACTGCCTAGCAGCTTCCAGAAGTGATGTTTTTCTGCTCCCTGCTCCTGAAGCACAGCTTGTGTCTTCAATGGCTGCATGTTGGCAAGTGAAAGAAACAGCATTTGAATGTGTTTTTGCAAAGGGGTTAGCAGGGTTTGTAAGCAGATTGTTCCAAGCTGTGTGGGAAAGCTAAAGATGTGTGACTTGGGTCTCAGCAAGGTTGGTCTCAGTGATGCTGCATGGGTACCTGTGACTCTGAGACACTGGTGTAGGACAGGGTGCTATGATTTAAAGTGTAAGAGAGAGCCTTCCCTCTGGGGCCATGCTCAACAAGGTGACTCCAGCCTTGTCTTGCATCTCCATCAGTGATTAAAGCTTTCTTGATGAGAACATGGAGAAGATGTGTTGTTGCAGGCTATTCCTGCCAACTCCTCTACCATAGCTATTGTGATCATAGAAGAGGTCATTTGTTCATTTGGTAGTGTTTTTTTATCTCTTGACTGATTGCCAAATAATTCAAAAGAAGTTCAGCCTCCTATCTTAGAGGAGGAAGCAATCCTTTCCCCACATGATGGAATCTCTTTTCCTAGTTGTCTCAAAACATCAGGAGGGGTACCTCTTCTAGATGTGACTGCAAAGTGATAGGAAAATTGTGTGTTCTTTCATGTTCAGAAAAATGGTAGCTAACATGGCAAGTAGAGATCTGTTACAAACTGTGTTCCAAATATCTGCACGCACACCCTCCAAAAGGGAGGGGTTTACTGCATTAATAAGTCAGTGAGGAAGACAGTATACACAATAATATGGATAACAGATTAAACTGACATTTCACCTATGCAGTTACACCTGTAAATCCATGGAGAGTCTTACGTCAATAGGTCTTGCTATTCCTAATATATAGTTTAGCTATTTTTATAAAAGATGTCTGCTGCACGTTTAGGACTCGACGCTCATGACCCATTGAATTTGACTTGTTTAAGTCAAATTTGACATTTCTCTGGAAGCATAAATCTAGGAGCCAAATGCTAACAGTGACACAAATATCAGCTAAATTATCTGATATTTTAAGGAAAGTGTCCCCAGAGACCACATAGCCTCCCTCCTAAGACCCCTTTAAAAATGTCAGTGTCAATAAACACAGATTGTGTCAAAGAGAAACCAAGTGGTGCTGCTTTTTTAAGTTCCCCTTTTCCCAAAACAGTTGGGTGGGGTATTTCTAAATAAACAGCAAAAATAAAGTCCTGACTCAGGCCTAGAACCTCTGTAGCTCAGTTTTGCATCTATGGCTTGCAGCTTCAAAGGGAAAAAAAAAAGAAACCTCCAGGATGCTCAGCAGAGATCCTTCTGATGTGTCATGGAGACCACTATAAACCAGGCTGAAGGAGAAGCCAACAAATATTCCCCATTTCACATGTCACCGTTGAACACGTTCTCTCTCTTTGTCCATCCCACTGCGTTTGTGTGGGTCAGTGTTCATCCTCTTCACCACAAGCCCTGGTTTGTGCAGGGTTAATGTCTGGAGTCACAGCGTGAGATATCAAAACAGACCAAACAAAGATTAAACTCTTATTCAGCTTGCTTCCAGCGCCCAGCTTGGGTTTTAGAGCATGTTTTTCCCTCACCACTGGCAGTCTCGTCTGGCACAGTGGGACCTGCAGGCAATTGAAATACAGCCAGCAAGATATAGATCTTGGATCCTTGGCAGGAGCACCCAGCACCCTAGGTCCATCTTATGGGAGGTGGCCCTGACCGTGGCCCACAACAGGGAGATGTGTGTCGTGCCAGGCTGGGGCATGGCATGAGGGCTTGTTTCCCTTTTCAGGGGAGTTTTGCAAAGGAGAAGTTCCCTGGGACTGAAATGTATCATTGAAGGCCAAAAGCTGGTCATCCTCTCTTCAGTGGGGAAGATATAGCTGTAACAGGGCGAGCTGACAATTTTTTCCCTCTTCATTCACACAATGTGTAGTCTTTCTTGAACACTCCTAAAATGTTAGTCATGCCCATCTCTTTGAAACTGCTGTACGTTTGTCTTGGTAGCAAAGAAGTAAAACCACATGGTGTTCACAGACTTTACCCTTTCTCCTGTGCCCCGGTGCCTGCAAGTGCTTGCTGTTGTCCTGTGCACACAGACTGGGCATCAAGTGACACAGACATGACATGTACTGAAAAAAAAATTCCCAATTGCCATGCCAGGTCTCAAGCCTGCAAAGCACATACTTGCAAGTGTGTCTCCAAGTGTCTTATGGCCTGATCTGGTCGGCTCCTCCCCAGAGTAAGGGCAGTGGGTGTACTTCTGTGGCATGTCATCATGGTGTGGTGGGTGTCGTGGGACTAGTCTTGCCTGTAGCTTGCTTGAGGAGGATAAGCATGGG